ACTTCAAACGTTCCCTCTAGGGGTGGTGAGCTATCCCACCAAGAAGTTAAACGGAATTAGAAAAGAGCTGTAAAGGAATCCACTTGGCCCCATCCCGGTTAGCGAAGCACGTTACAGGGTCCCCGAGGTCCCAGGTGGCTCCTGGTACTGGAATCCTCCCTTTCGAATGGCGATATCACTGGAGGGATGGTCCTTAGGGAGCGTGTTGCAGAGAGACCCGACAGCTTCCCCCACGATTGAAAAGTGTGGACGCCAGTTACACAGACTCGCCTTCAAATCCCAGCTCCACTAATTCACGATATATGATACCCCTGGATATATGCTGAACCTCTCCGAGCCTTGATTTCCTCATCTGTTAGGTGGGGCCACTTCAGAGGGTGGTGAGGATTAAAAGCATTAATATTTTAAAGGCACAGAGTGGTCGCTCAAGAACCGCGAGCTGCTATAACCCTTGTGCTTTAGAAACCCCACGAGAGAGAAAATTCTGATCTGGAGACCTCTGGAGCCAGAGCTGGTCTCTGGAAGGCCTTCCAAGCAGCTGCCTGTGAGCTTATGTGTCTCTTCTCACTGTATCGCATCTCCCCGTGAGAGTGCACCCCCCTCTCCGGGGCCCAGCTAGAGGGCCTGGTTAGCCGACAAAAACACTGGTGGTCGGGTCGGTCCCTGTGGCAGGGAGTCCCAGGAATTAGCGACAAGGCACCGTCTTCACCGTCTTTCCAATATTTCAGTATTTGCCTGACAAATGTCGTGCTCCGAAGCCACGTGGCTCTTTCTCTGGGTTCTGGCAGATAAATGCATTTAGTAGCCTCCTCTTGGGTCAAAGAAATTGGGACAGAGTTTGACACTGTCTGCTTGTAAATCTGTAGAGTCAGCAAATGGTTATCTCTGGCACAGAATAAAATTGCTTTTTGGGGGAAAAAAAAAAGATGTTCCCCCTTAAAAAAGTGGCACACACGGACAGTGTCAGTCAGCTACTGCCATGATGATGCTGCGTCACAAATCACCCCGAAAGAGTAACATTTACACTTGTCTCAAGGTCCACTGAGGCTTTCACATCACTGAGCTTCACTTCAGACCGGGACACCGTCCCTGGGACAGGGAGGGGCTCTGAGGCACGTGAGGGAAGGGGCATGGGCGGCCATGAGCGGTAACGTCTGTGGCCTGATCTCCGCCTGGTCTTTCCAGAATTACACCTGCAGTGCCTGCCCCCTCCCACCGGGTCACACCTCCCCAGTGAACTCGACAGCCCCACCCACCACAGCCCCGACCCATTCAGCCTCCTCTTCCTCCCTAGATCCACTGGTGCTGCTCAATGGAGAGAGGGAAAGAGGTCCGTCCGCTAGAGCTTCTCATACCTGCCCACGTCCAAAAACCTGCTGCAAGACAGGACACGCTCTTGGGGAAGTCGGGGGGGAAATGGACAGTCACAGAACTGTCATGCCAGAAGGGACGTCCCAAACTAGGCAACCAGGTGCCCCCTCTCGGGCGGGCTCAGTCTAACTCCACGGCATCCCAGACTCCAGGGTGTCTCACCTGGCCTAAGGGAGGTGAGTGTCTCCTCGATTCCTGGAACAGCCAGTCTAAACCCTGGATGCCTGCCGCGTCTGAAGAAATTCTCTCCTCATTCTCATCCCAGTCTCAGGCTCTCACTGGGGTTGGTTTCCTGTTACCACTCCCTGAACTTGGAGATGGAGCGGGAGGCCCCTTGTCAGCCTTCCCTGTATGGGCTGGAAAGCAGCCGTCAAAGCATCGCCTGCTTTGCCTGGCGCCTCCTGCTCTCGGACCCGCACTTGACAGTGACCCACGGAGCCCACGACGTGCTCAGGGGGAGGAGAGCAGTGCAAGAAGCAAGTGGCTGTTGCCATGAAAAAAAAATGAATCATAAGCACAAGTCGATACAAGGATCCTGCAGTTCAGACAATTACCCGAAGAGCACATTTCCTGATAATTATGGAGCTACACATGAGTCTGCTGTGCAAACCCCTGCCTTTCTCCGGAGACAGCTGAGGGGGCGGTTGAACAACAGTCAACTGCCGAGCTGCGTCCCATCCTGGGGCGTGTAGGGGACTGGTTCCAGCAAACTTCTTGGAAGGCACGCTTCCCGGAAGGGGGTGGTACGGACTAGCCCCGTGAACCTGCCGCCGTCCCCAGCACGTACTCACAGCCGGGACTCCGGACCCAGAAGCCCCTTCAGAATGAAAGAGCCGGGAGGGCGGTGGCCCAAGCCGTCCTGCCTTGTGACTCTGCTCAGACATCAACGACACGTACCTCGGAGACGGGGAGGGTGGGCGCTCGGGGGGATGCCACCAGCCAAGGACGACCCGGCCCCCTTCGATGCCAGGTGTGGGCTCAGGGATCTTATAAGGAGTTTCAGGCAGCAGCTCGGGGTCAGGATAATAACAAAACAATATTCGATACATGCTGAGCGTTTACGAACTAGAGGACATGCTATTCTTGTGACCCCCACTTCAGAGTCGCCCTGAGGGGTGCACAGCTAATCCGGGCAGAAGCCTGAGTACTCCACCACCACCCTCCACTACCTTTTGGGTGGAAGGAACCAGAACTGGCTGAGAGAGACGTTAATAAGATTAAAATGCCAACGACAAAGGGGGCAGGAGGCGGAAACACACAAGAGAGGAATGGGATGGACCAAGTGTGGGTCAGCGACCCCCTGTGTCCACAGGGGGTACCACACAGTTCGGTGCGACTGTCAAATACAAACTTACGTCAGAAGTAAACGTACTAAAAACTGTGTGCCGTGTGCAATGTCGTGGACACTACTGAAATGTGCAACATAAAGACTATTGATTACCCCAGTGGTGCCAAGAAGGGTGTAGATTGAGAAGGGCCAGGAAGCCAGCTTCCGTCACGAACTTACTGAATCAATTTCTATCGGGCGCCATTGGCAGGCTCTCGCTATTCTCCCTCCTACGTCACTAGATGTGACAGTGAACCAAAGTCGTCATCTACACCCACGCGCCCCCAACATGTCTGTGGGGTACAGAGAGCTACCAAATGAAGCTAAAAAACAAGACCTCAATGGCCAGACCATCAGAAACACCAACTATTTAAAATCACGTTCAGAAAGAAATCACGTTCATGTCGATGAGAAATGGCCATGGGGACACAGGGGTGAAGAGCTAACAGAGCCGAATGGCGAAAAGATGGATGCGCTCGCGGCAAGAGGCACGGGGCAGGAGGAAGACGCTGAAAGGAAATAAAGCCGCGGGCACGTGGCCAGGTGCAGCCTCGGGACGGTCAACAGGTGCTCGCCAGCCAGTGCGGCTCCCTGCGCGAGTCAGAAGGCCCTTAGGCCGCAGACCGTGTGATCAGGCACAGGTGTAGGCACAGGTGTAACACCTACAGTCTCGGAGTCAGTGTTTCACCGACCTTGGACTTTCCCCCATGGCATTTCCCTCCACAGCGAACAGCACTCGCGGTGGACTGCACGGACGCAGCAGAGGCGGCAGCGTGGGAAGGAGGAGGAGCAGGTAAAGTGGAAGGGGTGGAAGGGGGCGGAAAATGGAAACAGGCCCTTGCAGCACGGCTTCCTGCAGCGAGTGCCTCCGTCTACCGCGCCTAGGAGCGCATGCCCAGGGCAGGCAAACTGGCAAATGACGAAGCTGATTGTCACACAGCCTGCGTACTTAGAAAGGTCCAAGGGTGCGGCCAGCAGGACCTCGGCAGAGCCAGCCACACGCCACTGCTAACTGTCCAGCCAGAGTTACTCACCGAGCCATGTAGAAGGATGAGCCCCCTAAAATGTCATGGGTGTGCATTAACACTCTGCCAGAGAACTCAGGTCGGTACCTCCAGCACGGGGGAACAGAAGCGACTCGGAGTGAGAAGGACCTTAGAATCTTAAGGAACAAACCGGACACTGTGGAGGTGACGGCTGCAGTGGGTTATTGGTGTCCAAGACATCACCAGAGCAAATAATCTACAAATTGGTGAATGACCCTTAATACCAAATGTACTTCCTACTCATTTTGTATCCCTCGGATCACTAGGAAGTTCACGTGTACTTTCACTCTTTGAGCAAACCTCGCCTGCTATGAGGCACCAGACGTGGAACTCTAACATACTAAGTTTAAAAGGACAAGTAATAGCCAGAAAACCACTAACTTCTTGATTAAGTTCTCTCTCCCAAAGAAAGACATCATTACAGAAATACAGAAAAAATTCCAAAAACTTGCACAATTGCCCCCTGCTCTCGGTGTGGCCTGCATTTGGCTCCTCCCCTAGTCACACAAAGCTCGAAAGCCTCCTTTGGAGTCGACAGGCAGCTTCCTTGTGTCCTGTCGCCCTGGGCAGGGCGCTCTGGACAGTGGGCAGGGACATCCTTGGGCTCAGGGCTGCAGACAGTGCACGTTGCTGTTCTCTGTATTTTGTTGCAAAAACACGCACTTTCCTGCCTGGGGAGGGACAGGCTGGCTCTCTGGCCCCCCGGCTATGTTGGAAAGCTGTGCTGAGTACCAGGCTCAAGCTGCACACACACAGGGACCTGTGTGCACACGCGGCTTCCTGCAGGCACTTGGGGCAGCGGTGACCCGTCCACCCACTCGGAGCAGCTCTCCGAACGCTGCTGCCCCTGCGACAGCAACTCCCACCCCACCCCTGACACCCCCAAGAGCTGAACCCTCAAAGGAAACCCACCACCCAGTTGAAAACTTCCCCACGCCAGGCGGGCGGGCTGGGGTGGGCCTGAGCCCGGCAGGGACAGAGGCGCGGGCCACGGCAACGCCAGCTGTCAGTGCAGCCTCTGGATCCAACCGGAGGGCGCTTCACGTGTCCAGTGCTGTCCCGACACTGATTAATGGCCACCCCTTTTAATTAGCTCCTCTTGTCTCTGGAGGCTTCAAAACAGCCATCACTGGTCCCCCACCTCCCCCTCCCCCACCACCATTTTCTTTCCTGGGGTGACAAGGCAGGAGCAGGCACTGGGCCTGCCCGGCCACTTGCACTGAGTGACCACGAGTGACCGGAGTTCTTGCACTGACCTTGCGCAGAAGGAAACAGATGCGCTCGATGTTCCTCAGCCGTTCCCTCTGTCGGGATGCACGAGGAAGAAGGGAGAGCGAGGGTTAGAGTAAGCGAGGCAAGCCCCCACAATGCCTCACGGTAGAGGGGGTGGAGCCCACCAGAGGCCCCTGCCCCCCAGACGGCCAGCTTGCTCCCACGGGCAGCTTTTCCTAACTGGAGTCCTTCCATCTACCTTGTCAGAGTCACCTGCTCGTACCAGCACTCTCCCAGCAGACGGTGCGGGCCCAGCTTCCCTCTCAGCCCAGCAGAGGTGTCTCGCCCTTTTCTCTGCAGGCCAAGCCTCTCTCTCTCTGCCTCCCGGTGCCGTAAGGTGCTCAGACTACTGACCCGGCACCCCTCTCCTAAAGCCTGCAGCCAGCCCTCCCGAGAGGACCTCGCACTTGGGTCTCCAAGAGCAGACCTGCCCTGATTAGTGTCTAAGGAAGAGACGCGCTCTGCCCATGGCTTTATTTTTCTGAAGGGAGTGTATTTAAAGGAAGTAATCTCTCCACTACATTAGCCAGCAGCTGCGCCCCTTTTCTAGTCGAGGGGCCATCCAAGCCCATCCCAGCTCATCTCCCAGGCCTGGCTCACTGCCCAGGGAAGGTGCTGGGCAGGTGAGGATGCTCACGCCACACACTAGACGCTCCTCCCCCTTCCTGCAGTGACTCCCTTGGCTTCTGAAGCCGCTTGTGAGCACAGCCGGGGCCTCTCTGTGCTTCCTTCAAGGCCAAGGCAGTTTGGCTGCATAGAAACAGTGAAGGCCGTGAGACCCCTCGGGGGTCTGGAGAAGACAGGTGGCTGGGACGCTTCGGTTCCCCTAACCGAAGCATAAATACAGGGATTCCCGTGTGCCCTTTAAGCCCAGAGGAAAGAGCCCAGATCAAGACAAATTAGTGCCCACACGGCAAGGAAGAGAGACCACATGCTCCTTGACACATGTGCATATGTTCTGGAATGTTCTTGACTCATCCTGCATGTGGCAACCACACCCTCTTCCCCAGGCCCCGGCTGCCCCGAGGTGACACCACCCTTTCTGCCACCAGCACCCCCGACTTACCGCATGAACAGGGTTGCACTGGTCTATCGGGCTCTTAAAATCCGTTCTTAACTCATCGAAGGCAATGATCTGAAACGAAACACACAGAACGGCGACATGAGTGCAAAGGTGAGTCCACACAACCTGTCAAAAGCTTCGCGGAGATTTGCTTCAAAGTAACACAGGAGGCAGGAGGAGGGTGTCAATGTCGCGGTCACTGTCGGAGCTGGTGATGGGCACTGGGGTCGATTGCACTGTTCCATCTACTTCTGTGTTCACTTAAAAATCCCCAAATGGGAAATGGGGAGATCTGGTCTGAGGGTTCATACCTGCAACTTGTAGATAAGTAAGTCCTGGAAATCTAGCACACAGGACAGTGATTCTAGACACAAACTGTATTATCCTAACAACTAAGAGAGCAGATCTTAATTATTCCCGATGCTAGAAGAAATGATGATAATGGGGTGGCAAAGAGGCGTGAGCTCGTGGGACAGTGCCAACCGCGGTGCGATAAAAATGTGTCGCCTTAAACTCACATGATGTTCTATGTCAGAGATACCTCAAGGTTTAAAATCCCCCAAAGAAAGTTTCTTAAGCTTTCTGAGTTTTACAAAGACAACGGTGAGAGCAGGCTGGGGGGTGGATAAAGGTACAAAAAGTACACTTCCAGCTACTCTCATCACAGGGAGAAGCTGGTGATTTCTTATCTTTTGTTTATTTTGGCAGAGACGCCGATCAGAAGTAAAATGGACAGACGTCAGGAAAAAGGGGAGAAAGAATAAGAAAGCAGAGCTGACGGTCTTAGAAAAGACCCCATCGGTGGCTGCCTACGGGCTGGGTCACCGACTCCTGGATAGTCAAGGCTTCTCGGCTTGGCCTTTTGGGTCAAGCTCATTGCGGACAGAGACTCAGAGCTGCCCAGAGAGCAACGGTTTCCCCATTTGTCTGAAGGAGAGAACGTCGGTGTGACCTTCCCCAGGCCCACAGTGGGGCGTGGCCCATCCACAGAAAGAACCAACAAGAGGTGCAGCTCCTTACCCCAGCCACTTTGTCCCCTGAAGGGTGACTCAGGTGCAGCTCCTTACCCCGGCCACCTTGTCCCCCGAAGGGTGACTCAGTGACAGAACAAGGTGGTGTTTGGCCAGTGCACTGCACAGAAATGGACATAGCAACCGCCTCCCAGGACTGCACATCCCACGGGGCCCTGAGCACTTTGGCAGAACTGCCAAAGCAACACAGCCAGCGCACCACCGCCGTGCCCCTGTCCCGGCAACACAGGGCTGAGAGTAGGTACCACGTGAGCAAAAACAAGTTGTCTCCCTCTGCAAAGCAGGTGGGTGTCATCCTGACTTCAATACTCCTCCAGAATTAGGAGAAGATGCTGGTATAATTTGCATTCAGTAGCCACATTCCCATGTCATCATCGCCAGGTAGCTAATTATCCAGCCTGTACGTACTTGAGCCCTTTGGTAACAAGAAACGAATCACGTACTGGGGACGCAGATCCCACTCCTGGATACCTCTAATTAATCATTGTCTGTATCGGATGCACACAGGCCTCCCTGAGGCTGCTGCCCACCGTCTAAACCAGGGTCAGCCAACAGCAGCCCGTGGGCCAGATCCCACCTGCCGTCCCTTCTGGGACAGCCTGGGAGTCGCAGAGTGGTGTTGGCGCTTTTAAAATAGTTGGAAAAAATCACAAGAAGAATAATATTTTGTGATGTGCAAAAATCATATTGTACTGAAATTCCAGCTCCCAGAGAGTTTGATTGGAACAGAGACACATGCATCCTTTTCGGCATCTTTTCTGCGCACATTCGCACTGCAAGGGCGAGGCGGAGTGGTTACTGCAGACGCTGCGTGGTCCACAGAGCCCGAGATAGTTACTGTCATGTCTCTTACCCCCCCAAAAAACTGCCAGTCCTGGTCTATTCTTTGATTGGCCCTGTAGAGCTGCACTGTCCAGTAAGGTATTCGCATTTGGCTATGTAAACTTAAATTTTAACTCATTTAAATTAAAGTTAAAAATTCACATGTGAATCGCTCAATACCCACATCTGTCTAGCGGCGATTAAACAGCAGGGACAGAAAACACTTCCAGCATCGCAGAAGTTTCCAGAGCACAGCACTGACCTAGAGGGCGGACCCCCCCTCTTCCAGGAGGCGCCCCGTAAGGACTGTCCACCGCCAGGTCCCCGCTCTCTCCAGCCCGGGTTTCCGTAAACCAGCGCCCAGTTGCCTCGCCATCCTCACCGCCCCGCACTGACCTTCCCGGTCAATGTCTGTACTACAGCGGCACTGTCAGAACTAAACACCATATCCGAGGGGAGGCCAGCTGGCACGGAGAGTAAAAGTGTTGGTCGTCTCCTCTGCTCTGTAACCTCTGTCTCTGATAGCACTGGTTTGGGGACCAGGCACTTCAGGGGGGCAATGGGGCAAGGGGATGGAGGTAGAAGCCCGGAGCAGCGCCGCAGTGTGAAAGCGGAGGCCGCCCTGCCCAGGTGGGAGGCGGAGCAATGGATGCTGGGAAGGAGGCTGGGACCAGCTGCTTGAAGACTGGTCCCTAGACCTGGGCCATGAGTACAAATTGGGAAACACGGGGCATGGCTTACGTACCGTTGCCTCTGCCAGAATTTGAAGATGGAGCTGGTTCCAACATTGCTTCCCTGGTCCCGTCTAGTTAATAGCAAACAATGATACCCCAGAGCCAGGCGCTTCTGGGACAGAGGCCAAGAGAGCAGGAGACAGGGCAGGCCCAGCCAGCTGGCTCCTGCTGACACTTGGCAGAGTGTCCTGGGCTCCAGCTGGCGGCTGTCCTGGTCAGGGTAAAATCCAGAGCAGAGGGGCCGAGGAGAAGGCCCACACACTCTGCCAACCCCTGGGCAACGTGGGAACAGCCCCTCTAAAGAATATGAGCGGTGAGGAAGGGAAGGAGGGGGCGCAGCCTGCAGCATTCTGGGGCCTCCCTGGTCCCCTGCTCCGCCCGGCCCCCGACTCAGCCAACTCGCCCTGTACCTCCACTGGCCGCTTCAAGCAAGCCTGAAACTCAGAGAGTGCTGTTCCCATAACCGTCCCAGCCCCAGGCTCCGCCTTCCCCCCCCCCCCCAGGCTCCTGCTTGCCCTGGCATTCCCTCCCGAACAGAGACTTGGGGAGCAATTTCTGGCCCACACGGTCAGGTGACCCTCCACACCCTCCCTGGGTCTTGGCCTTCAACCGCCCCCAGGCTCTTGGAACCACTTCTCCTCCTCCTCCTGGTGTCCTTGACTCCTCTGGGCAAACAAGTGCCTCCTCCAGTTCCCAGGCCTGCGGTGCCCCTCAGCCAGCCTGGCCCAAGCTTTGGAGGAGTGCGCGCCAGAGAGAGAGAGAGTGTGGGTGTGCATTGGGAAGGCTCCCACACCCCACAGTGTCTTCCCGGAAAAAACATCAGTATTCCTTCTCTCATTTCCCAGGTCCAAGGTAGGAGCTGGAGGAGAGGCTACAAAAAGCAAGGCAGCCAAGGCACCGGCCTTCACTGGTGACAAAGACTCTGTCCTCGAACAAACCTCAACTACGCTTCAGCCTTGGGCTTCCGTGTCTGCCCTGGTAGAGTCCAGTATAAGTGAGAATCCTACTAAGTTGGTTTGGGGAGAATCCCCACCCGAGATATCTGATCACCTGGCCCACCTCCAGCAGGAATCGTACCGAAGAATCCCCTGCCCTGGAGGGCTCCCCTTAATGATTTTCCCCCCACCAACCCCTCCATCCTGCTCCTTGGCTACAAATCGCCATGTGTCCCTGTATTCAGAACTGAGCCTCATCTTTCTCCCCTGTAACAAGAGTCGAGAAGGAAGTCTTCCTCACCTGCCTTGACATGTCAGAATACTTTTTTCTCGAACCTCATTCTCTTGTATCAACTCTGAAAAAGCAACAGCCTCGGGGAATAGCAGCCCAAGAAGGCACTGGTCGTTCTGAGTGTGCGTGTGAGCTCTTCAGTCAGACTGAAGGGCCATGTGTGGAAAGGGAGGCAGGACTCCCAGCTCTGGGCCGGGACTGAAAACTGTACCAGGAGGTGGTGGTGAGTTGCTTTTTGTTCTTTCCGAGATCTGCAGGGGCAGGGGGCAGATTAACCCTGCTCCGGGGTTCATGACACATTCACATCATTGATCTGAGCGAGGAGGCCCTTTCTTATCTACGCTTTCGTTCATTTCCTCTTATCCTCCGCGCCTTTCCCTCCGCCTTAGATGATTATCGGTTTACGTTCCTTGTGCCCCTGTCCCTACCGCGTCCTCACAGACTGTGTGTCTGTCTGTGTGCACGTAACTTTAATGCACCTAACTCCTGTCTCGTTCTCTCTCTTTTCTGTTGCGCTTGGCAGTGTGATCAGGTACAGCCACTCTATTCTGTCTCTCCAATGAGAGACAGAGATCGGTCAAAGCTTTGCCCCCCAAACAATGCTACAAAATCCCCACGCACGGCCCCTTGGGGACTGGTGTGCCAAGTTCTTTGGGATTTCTACCTAGGAATGGAACGGCTGGGTCACCTGGCTGATGGGTTTTTTTAAACTGAACTAAGTACTCCCCAGCTGCATCCCACACCCCTGCCAGCGCTCGGCAGCTTCCAGCTTCTACGTTTTACACCCTAATGGGTTTCAAGTAATCTTTTTGTTGTTTTAACTTGTATTTCTCCGGGTAGAGCCTTTCTCCACAGAACGGTCAGTCTTCGGGGGGTTCCTGTTCTGGTAAACTGTCTGCCGAGCTGCCCTGCCCATTTTCTTTGGGGTCACTACCCTTGTTCCTTTGGATTTCCACTTGTTGCCAGTGTGTTGTCGATGTGCGCCCTCCTGTCGTTTTCGACACACGGAACACCTTCTCCCATCTGCCACCTGTTAATTGACTTGCGTCTGCGGCCTCCCTCATTGAATGGAAATCAATCCGTTTTTGCCTTACAGTGTATAGTTTTTGAAGTTTTATTTAAGGACTCCTTCCTTGCCCCTAAGGCACAAAGAATCCACTAGGATGTGAGTGTCCCGGGGATCACAGGATGCAACGCTCTAAGAGAGGAGACGCTTGGGTGTGGGTGTTGCCCCATCCCAAGCCCCTGGGTCAGGGCT